GCTAATAAAAAGTTGATAAGTCTCATCGAATCTCATACAATAAAATTTACCTGGACGAATTTCTTACTTATTTGTTAATGAGAAACCAAACAACAAATATCGTGAAAACGATGAAGATTTCTTTTTGGGATGCGCCATGCATTCCACTCTCATTAAGGATCGTAGTCCATCAGGCCCCATCCGAAGCAACCCTTTCCAGAATAACTAAAAACCCTAGCTTAAATAAGGTCGTACCAATGGGGTGACCCGATTTTGAGGTCCCCTTTCGCAAAAATGTTTACAAAATTGCGAACAACCGTAATACTCACAATTCCACGTGTTTGGGCATCTTTTTAATCAGTTAACATTGATTAATAAAGAAAAAAAAGCATCGAAATGACAAAATTTTGTCTTTTTTTGGCTCTGAAGATACACAAAAACACTTGCAAGATACCTGAAAACCAGAAATTCCAAAAACGAATACCGTGTAGCCAAAAAATCATATGTTAAAGAATATCAAAAAAAGGAGTTTTTTAGACCACAATGCACAGCAGGTGGCAGCGCTCACCTTAACTAGCCTATTGACCAGCGGAAGCTAATAAGCAATGTGGCCCCCCATTCATTCAATTCCTTTGACATGTGCCTCTTCTTCACCAACCTAACGCCTTCTTATGTCGGTTCTACGAATCTTTCCAGTTGATTAGAGATATCATCCTCTTTACTAAATTTAGTGTTTCTTATTCCTTTTATGAAATGCGCTTATTCAATGCTTTTTCCTCCTTCTTTACTAAGGAACCCGGAGAGGCTGTAGTTCAAAGGTAGGCTCTCGTCCAAGGCGTGCAAAATGGGAGCCGAACCACCTCTTCCTTCCCCTTCAATGTTTTTTACTGCATTGTCCTTTCTCCAATCTCACAGCATCGTTCATGTCTAATTTTTTGTATTTGTTTTTTTTGACCGCTCAGAAGAGCGAGTCGCTGGTCCGACCTTGCGGTCAAACCACGGTCCTCAACGCGTTTCCGCGTTCTTCCCGCTCGCAACTCGCCCGTCTCCCTATCATCGCGGTGGACGGGTATCGCCCTTTGGTTGGGATTGCGAAATACACACTACAGAAATGATTCTGTATAGTATGATTTCAACTGAAACATCCACGAGCTGCCTGCCCTACCCGGCCCGTGCCGTATGGCGCACGGGTCTGCTTGCCGTGCTGAGCAGGCGGAAATTGCGGGCGCATGGAGTAATGCAGCGCGAGAGACGCTAACACAAACGCAGACCATTTCAATGCGTTGAAGAGGCCTCCAGACCCTTTAATTCGAATTGATTCTTTTGAGGAAGGAATTTGACGGTACCAGTGTGAATTTTTACATGAACATAGCCCGAAAAACGCAACATTATTAGCTTTTTAATTTATGAAGACATTGCAAAGGAATAATTGAAGCCTATTGAGTCGAGTATAAGTATTGAGTTGACTATATTGAACATTCTCGAAAAGTATCCCTTGCTGAAGGTCCGTCAATAGCGATTATTCATTGCCTTTTAGTGCCAAGTGCTGTTGGCATCACACAGCAATGACCAACATAATGCTACATTCGTAGCCAGCGAAACAACACTCTATTTATACGGAGCAACAGTTTTGTTGATTTATTTCACTGTCATAAGTTTCGTTGAACATTGTTAATAAATATGAGTATCAAACTAAAAAGTAAATATTGGTAGTATCGAAAATATTAGTAAGCAATATAAGTAGTAAGGCGTCTTTGTCAAGCAGAAATAGGCAGAAATTGATCACATAAGCTGGCATAGTACTTTTTCACCCTCCATTTGCTAATTTTGATTCGGGGTCTCATCCAACAAGGGGAGGCATGTGATGCGACAGTCGCTACCGCTTACGGAATTTCAAAGGGGAAAAATACCGGTACTGCGTGAACCACCTCGCTTCCGCGTTTACACTTTATTCATTTGAAGTGATAACATGTTAACAAGGAAATCTTATTGGCTTCATACGTCGATGGTATTTTAAGCAACACCCCCAGCAGGTCGCAGAATCTATTTAGTAGGTGGGATAGAGTGCCCATGACTGCCACAGATGTGTCTTTGTCGCGGCTCGAAAGTGCGCAACAAAGGCACAAACAACAGTGGGCCTAAGGTATCTTCCCCAGCAGAAGTCAACTCGAAGAATCTTGGTTGGGATAGAGTAGCCACGCGCAGAACAGATGTGCTGTTGTCGCAGCTGGAAAGCGCTAACTGCGCTAGGGTCTTACAAGCTGGCTTATCGCCGCTGATCTTGGCTTTTGGACGGATTACGTGGCTGCGTGTCCTTGCGCGACTACGTAGTCCCTTCGCGATTGCCTGTGAACTGTACCGTTCGAAGAAATGCTGCCTGTATCTTGATGGCTTTTACTTACCTAATTCTGTTAATTATCATAATTCTTTGTTTGTCTTGATGCCTGTGTATTTTTTTTGTATCAGTGCATGCGCGATTGCAGTTGCATTCTTGCCGACGCGAGCCAGCAAGAAATGCATGCTAGTTCAGACAACTCGTCCGCCATGCTGCTTCCTTATTTCAAGGGGAAGTCATTGTTGAGGGCTCCATCGGCGATTGCTTCTTTTGTAATTTGCAATCAACTTGGCATCCACAGTTTCATTATCGACCGCTTCTACCCCCACCAGCTCGATCTGTGGGTGTTGCTTCAAGTCTTACAATGTCAGCATTTGACGACCAGTCTCAGCAATTGACGATGTACTTTGCGCGCACCTCATGATAGCTGATATGTATTGCGGCGTTGCGGGTGATTCAACTACGCGTGGGTTAGTGGAGCCATGGAACAAGCAAGTTCGTACAACTCCTCCGGCCCGCCCTTCCTTATTTGGAAAAAGAACTCGTTAATGGCTTCATCGACGGTTTTCTTTGCTTCTTTTTTCATTTTTTCAACTGGACATTCGTAACTCCACTGGCGACCGCAATGGACCCACAAATTTCATCTGAGGGTGTTGCTTCGAATTTGCTCCTTCCAAACTACTGTCACGATTGCTACTCCTTTTCCTGATTTTTTTTCCCTTTCTATTTTGGTACTAAGTGGGTTGGGGGGGGGACGACGCGGCGGCGCGGTGCTCCGTTCGCCTGTTCCACCAAGGCTTAGTCCAAGGGCAGCTACTATTTCGTCACCACGTGGCAGTTCGAAATGCGCCCCATCGGACTAAGCCTTGGAGGCAGGGTCGGTCCTATCGTTGTTACTTTTCGAAAAAGTTTTACGACCCCCCTCCTCCAAGGTAGATTTGATACGACCCCCCTTTTCCACAGCTCGACCACCATCTCTTCCTACTACCCCAACCCAAAACTCCACCCACATTTTCCTCCAAAAATGCCGTCGAGCGGGGGTGGAGGTGGAGGGGGCTTATACGCGCACTGGAACGGCAAATTTTTCTTCCGCGCGCCTTCGACTCACCCACCCGTTCCACCTCAAACTCACATGCAATTTCCTGCAACAAAGCGGGTACGACCCCCCCCTACTCCAAACCCAACCAGGTACGACCCCCCCCCCCCGTTGTTATTAGTAACAACGTAGGGTTGACCCTGCTTGGAGGAGTAGACGAACAGAGCACCGCGCCGCCGCGTGGTCCCCACCCCCCCCCAAACCCACTTAGCAACTCTATTTCTAGTCATAGTCGAACAAGACTGGATGAGTGATGAGTTACAAGGTCGTGGCCAGTAGCTTCCTAGGCTTGCCTTATGCAAATTGCAAGCATTAAGCATTATTAAAAAATTGGAGCCCGTGCCGTTCTCGGAAAATGTAACACATGTGTCATAACAGGATTCGCACCCGGGGATGCACAAATGCACATTCGAAACATTTTACGGAGTTTATTTTCAGGACCCACTTGTATCGTTACCAGGCCCATATATTTCGCTATAGAACCCACACAAACTCAACTAGATCGCGTTGTGATTTAGATCGCCGTCATACTCGGCGACGGACAAGCGATGGAGCGATCGCGATGACGAGCTGCCCATAAAAGTAATTTTGAAAAGCTTTTGTAACTATTTTTTAACATTTCTACCAGGACTGCGTATGGACAGACTAAGCGGTGCGCTTTCTAGTAAGCCTTCGAAAAGACCGCAATAGGCAAAAATCACGGAGCAGTGAAAAATCATCCGTTTGCTTTTGAGTAATGTCCTTTTCCAGTGGAATGAGGCAAGGACAACGGCTCCACCGCATTGAACACTCGTTGGGCAAATTCATTTCAGTGGAACACGAAGTCCTTTGCTTTGTCGCCAAACCACATGAAGGCATAACTGCCGTATTTCAAATCGATACGTACCCTTCACTTCAGACGAGCGCCAAATCGCACAAGTCGCAAACTATGAACGGAACTTAAAGCAACACCCCCGCGAGGAGCCAACTTGAAGAATCATTCTTGAGGTGAGATAGGGTAGCCCACATGT